TAACTTTTTTTTCTTTTTATAATTATAAAAAGGTAAAGCATAAAATATAAGTTATTTATATATGCTACTAACGTAAATATATAAGCAATGTTCCTTCCATATTTCCCTTTGGGAGGATTAATGCTTTAGGATCGTTCAGGGGACAAATTTATATAAAATTTTTTAAATGAAGTTTGTGAAATTTATTATTAAAAACTATTTAATATAAATTAAAAATCAAAATCAAAATTGATAAATTAAAAAATCTTGTTACATAAATTATATAAATTTTAAATAAAAATTGATTAATTTTTAATATAAATACTTTTAATAAAAATTTTAAAATTATTTTTATCGTTATATTCAAATTTGATGAGTATTTGTTTAAATAATAACGGTCACTCAAAAAGCCTCAACCATTTGAGACCTTCTTCTACAAACACAAAAACCCTAAGGTACTGAAAGAATATCAACTACAGCAAACTCTTGTAATTTTAGCATCTGCACCCATTTCATTGTATAGCTTCAAGCTGTGTTTTTCTTATATAAAAAAATAGTGTATTTGTTAATGATCTAGAATGCAAATCACAAATTAAATGATTTGAAAACAAACTCAAGCTACTACTCAATACTCATGCAAAACTACCCTTGTGTTTTGATTCAATGGAGCACTTGAAAACCCATCTTTAATTTTGCTTCTCATTTTCAGGTCGATTCACATAAAATATGACTTATAACCATATCAAATGATCTCATAAATTTTGTCAAAATATATATATATATTCGAAAATTGAAACACAAAATTCAAGTTTCAAAATCATTAATTTACGTCAGGGTGTTGATGGTGATGGTGACCTATGGGCGGAAATGTCCACCACATGATTCACTTTCAATTTCAAGATGTTAAGCAACTGAATTACTATATTTTTTGTGCATGTGAACGTACTCCACATGCTTCATTTTCATAAATTAAGGAAAAAGGAATGAGGCACTCACCTATACATATATGGGGTTTGGAGTGTATATATATTACCTATTAGGCGACAAAATCCCTAAAAATCAAAATGAGAGATTAATAAATTCCAATTTTTTATATTTAAAACTATCAAAATTTAAACTTTAATAATTGAAATTAAAAGTCGAACCAAACCAAAATGTTTTAAAAATTTTTAGTATTTAACTCAAAAATAAACATGCATTCCTTTTAAAAAAGAAAATTCAAAAAAGATTGGCAGTTGGTGACTGAAACTCTTCATAAATGCTATTAGGGTTAGGGATAAGGATTATCAATACGACATTCTAAATTTCTATTCATTGAGATAGACTTTTATTTCTTCCCAAAGGCAAATTTCAACAGAGACAGCAATGGATATGTCCCACTCCACCCATATGCATACCACATGCTGCTGAATCAAACTATGGAATATAGACAACTAAAAGAAGAGATAAATTATATACTTCTCCATCAATTTTCGAAGAACCACAAAAATTAATCCTAGGGGATGTGGCCAGCCAATAATTAATAATGCATCCAGAAAACTGTTGGTATATATTCATTTTCCCATGCCTTGTCATTGCCACAGGAAACTTCCAAGAAGGAGGGCGAGAGGTGGGAGTAATAATTTTTTGAATCAGACTATATTCAATTTTTTTAGATAATATGAATTTGAATTTATCTCTTTTTTTTTTTAAATCGATCCGATTCAAATTAAATTCTATTAATATAAAATTTGATTTGATTCAATTTTTTTATTTTAATTTAAAATTTTATTTGAATATAATAAAAATATTTAATATTTAAATTTAATTCAAATTAAAAAAATAATCTAAATTAAATCAAATATCATGATTTTAAATTATTTTTTATTTTTTTATTCCCTAGCAAGAGAAAGAGATCCCAGAATCATAGTCGATGCCAGTGAGAGATTCGCAATCACAGGCAGATTTGTGGTATCCGTATATTAGAACAAATATATGCAAATATGCAATGCAGAGACCCAGGAGAGAGAACAAATGTATTATAATATATGTACGGTCGTTTGGTTTCTGATTTTAGCAAAGTCGGGCCAACAGTTCTACTTTTGTTTTTTTCTATCTTCATTTCGTTGTCACATGCCTTTATCTCTTTCGGGACCCTGGGATCCTGATTCCTTTCCCACTGCAGCAGAGGCTGAAACGGCCAGGGATGGAATGGAATGCTTGCTCGTGTTTCTTGGTTTTAACCTGATTATTTCATTCGTTAAGATGTTTTTATAATGTAACCATTGGGGTTATATTAGATTTTCTGATGGCATATATAAAGCTGGTGTAGATGATTTGAATTTGATTAAATCTGATTTAATTATTAAAAAAGCTAATAAATGAAACTTGTTCAATTTGAATCCAAATGATTAAAAAAATTAATCCTTTTATGCCTAAATTAATTGGTTACCAGTTAACTTGATCAAAGTCAACACAATGGAGTCATCTAAATAAGACATATTTAGAGAGTCACGTCACCCACTCCCAAAAAAAATAACCTTCCTTGTTCAATATTTAGAAGTCTTCAAAAATATAATCATGAAGTGAGAGAATTCACTGATAAATGGAGAAAATCATGTGCTAGAAATAAATGTGAGGTTTTTCTTATGAATGGCACAGCGTACGTGTTATGGTGCTTTGAAATTATAAAGGAACCATACCAATGTAAATGGGTCCTAACTGCTTTGATGATTATCCAAATTCAAACTAATACCTCTTTCCAAGGAAAGTTCACAACTTTCTTTAATTGTTTATAATTATTTATCCACACGAAACACGCTCTTGAATTGTTTATAATCATTTACACTATAATAAAGAAGTTTTTTAATTCGAAATTTTGTCACACATGTTTCACTTTTGTTAATTAACTTTTTATTTTTTACTATACCATAAAAAAAATGCATCACACTATTAATACTGACAATAAAACATAAAAATCCCATCGTTAATTTTGCATATATATCATAATAAAAACGTAATTTTAGAAAATTTATTGGATCCAATTTTTTAGATAAAAATGAAAAGCAATAATAAAAATAAATTTAATAATTTATGTATTCGTATCGTATAAAATATTAAAATTTATGTATTTGTATAATATTTTATATGAAAATTATGTATTATAATTTATGTGAATACAAAAATATAAAATATATATTTTTGTTTTATTATGCTGATATATAATAATTATTAAAATTTTAAATCGTATTATTTTTATTTTTTATTGTATTCATATTGTATCTTCGTATTATATTTTAAATTATTAAATTCAAAAAAAATATTTTTTTACTCTATATATATATATCACTAATTTAACAAAATCAATGAAATTTGATTTATAACCAAATAAAAAGGTTTTCAAAATGTTCCTAAAGTGCATTCCGTTGATTAAAACGTGTTCAATCGTACGAGAGATTAAAGAAGCTTGGTTTAAAATCACATTGTTTAAGCGTGGAATTGAATTCACACGAAAGCGTAATAAAACGTAAGGACAATGCTTTGTCTTTGTGTTGACAGTTTAGAGAAGGCACCATTTGATTGTAAGCAATAACATCATCAATAATAATAAAATTATTATTTTATTTATCATAAAATTTTAGATTTTATAATAAATTTAAAATAATTAAAATATGTTTTATTAATTATTTTCAATATGTTTTAATTAGTGTATAAGATAATTTTTCATCATAATAATACATAATTTTCCTTTAAATTTTCACTCTTTTTGAACAAAAATAATTAATATAAACATGACATTTTAAAGCAAATCAATTAATTAATATTTACTAATTATACCATTTTTGTTTCTTTTAACTATATATTTATAATATTAATAAAAATTAAAAATTAACCGCTGTAATTCGTTGGCATTCAACTTTCATTTTATCAAAGATAAATCTTACCATTTGGTTTTTATTTCAAAATGAAAAATCTCATCAATATTTGACTATGTTAAATTCTAGAAAGTAATGCTTTCTAAATTCCCATGTAATAAAAATCGGTCAATATTACAATTATTTTATTATTTAAATTGGACCACTATTATTAATATAAGGTTGACATAGTAATTTGGACTTTGTCTAAAACTTCTTTTCCATTTTGTGGTTAATATATAAGTTCATTTCCTATCAAGATTTTTACATTATTGCCAAAATTTAATGATTTTGACCTTTGAAGATAATTCATTATAATTTTCAAGTTGCGTATATTTTTATTATTATATATATAGTTGGAAATTGTATCTTATAATATTATATATATATAGGATTTGTTGGAAATTGTTTGTTTGTGACTTACAATAATAAGTTTATTTTTAAAAAATTAATTTTACAATGATGAATGATTGAATCTAAAGAGAACCTTCCAATAAAAACAAATAAAAAAATTGTAATTACATTAAATTCAAAGTGATTCAAATTGGAATATATTTATTTATTTATTTGGATAATTGAAATTATTCGGAATATCCAAAGAAAGTAGAAATATGTTGTGGAGTCTTACAAGCCGAAAAAAGAAAAAAAAAAATCAAAAACAACATCAAACTTATTAAGCTAACTTATGTCCCAAATTTGAATATATTTCATTAAAGAAAAAAGAAAAATTTTGAGGTTTTCCCAAATTTGTATAGTTGATCCAAATTTAAAACATACTATTTTAACCAAAAAAAAAAAGAATTAAATGCTTTTTTGACCTTTGAAATTGAAAAAAAAAAAAAAAAGAGAAGAGTATAGAAGTTTGTGTTTGATTAATTCACCTTTCGTGTTTACACGGATCCCTTGACTGTAGTTAACAACGACTAATGTTATATTCCCGCGAAAGAAACCGTGATACGTGGGTGGCTACAATTTGTCTTCACGTCACCCGTTACCCTCAACACAACAAAATTTAAACTTTATAAAAAGCACAAATAAAAACAAAAACTTAATTAATTAAAAAACAAAAATCCACGTGGCAACTAACATAAAGACAAAAATACCTATTCCACCTTCGATAAATGGGTTCCAAAAGCAGTCGTTTCCCTCTCCATTTACCAATTCTCCCCGCAACCCAATTTTTAGTTCAGATTAATTCCCTCTTTCATTTTCTCTTCTCCTTTATCTTTTCCATTTCGGAAACCGTAAATTATTTTCTCAGACGATAAGGTCGAAAACCCAAAAACAGAACCGGTTTTTCGTGATTGTTAAGAATCTCAATTATTGAGTTAAACTGTAGTTTCATGGGGTTTTGTTAAAGATTTAAGGAAAGGTTTCGGACAATGACAGAGATCGAAAACGCGGCCAGTTCCAGTACAACCAATGAGTTGTCGGAGATGACGCTGTTCGGAAAGTACGAGATTGGGAAGTTGCTGGGATGTGGGGCTTTTGCAAAAGTTTACCACGCACGCAACGTGAGGACAGGGCAGAGCGTGGCGATCAAAGCAGTGAGCAAACAGAAGGTTTTCAAAGGAGGATTCGTGGCGCAAGTTAAGAGGGAGATCGATATCATGCGCCGGTTGCGCCACCCTAACATCGTCAAACTCATCGAGGTGTTAGCTACCAAGACCAAGATTTATGTCGTAATGGAATACGCCAAAGGTGGGGAGTTGTTTACGCGAATTTCAAGGGGACGTTTCAGCGAAGATCTCAGCCGTAGGTATTTCCAGCAGTTGATTTCGGCCGTTGGATTTTGTCACTCAAGAGGCGTGTTCCACCGTGATTTGAAACCGGAAAATCTCCTCTTAGACGAAAACTGGAATTTAAAAATAACGGATTTCGGACTCAGTGCGGTAACGGATCAGATCCAACCCGATGGCCTCCTCCATACTTTGTGCGGAACCCCAGCTTACGTGGCACCTGAGATTCTAGCGAAGAAAGGATACGACGGCGCAAAAGTCGATGTCTGGTCATGTGGCATTGTTCTGTATGTTCTCCACGCCGGATATCTACCGTTCAACGATCCCAACCTGATGGTTATGTACCGTAGGATTTACAAAGGCGAATTCCGGTTCCCGAAATGGACGTCTCCTGATCTCCGGCGATTTATATCTCGGCTTCTCGATACCAACCCTGAAACAAGGATCACCGTCGATGAAATCATCAACGATCCTTGGTTCAAGAAAGATTACAAAGAAATCAAATTCCACACCGAAGATTTTGAGTTAAAGGAAGAAACCCAAAGCTCCAAATGCTTAAACGCCTTCGACATAATCTCCTTTTCATCCGGTTTCGACCTCTCCGGTTTGTTCAACGAGGGCGAGTTTTCGGTCCGGAGAGAGCGGTTCATATCGGGGGAGAAACCGGAGAGAATATTAGAGAGAATCGAGGAAGAGGTCGGAAGAATAGAGAACGTGAAGGCAAAAAAGAGAAAAGAGAGAGGGATACAGTTAGAAGGACAGAATAGTAATTTTGTTCTCGCCGTAGATATTCATCAGTTGACGGAAAAGCTGGTAGTGGTGCAGGTGGGACGACGGGAGATTAACGCTGGGCCAGGTGGTGAAATTTGGAAAGATAAATTAAAACCAAAGCTCTCCGATTTGGTATATAGAGCTGAAGCAAGGCAGATTTCTGGGTAATTGATAGAGAATTTCATTGGCAGAGCTGAGAACCGGTCGGAAAAAATGGTCTCGGCCGCTGTAATATATTTATATATTCAACCCAAAATAAAAGAACAATTAAAAAAAAAAATACAAACCGTCTAGCTTGTCCGACGAATCGGAGCAAACCCAAATTCATTAACCGGGTTTTCTGCATCTCGTTTTGCCCGGCTTTAACTTTCAATCTCAATTACGATAATTTTAAATTATATATATATATATATATTTTGTACTTAATATTTTGCCTTTACATTTACTTCACTTTATTGTGATTTATTTTTGTTCTTTTTTTTTTTTCTTTGTCACTCTTAAGGAAAGCGGAAAAAACCAGCACTTTAAATAAGAAATCAATTTCTTATTCAAAAGTTGTGAAATTTAATTTTATTTAATTGAATTTTCAAAAATAATTATATGGATTTGTTGAATTAAATTAAGTTCATAATTTTTATTTTAGTACGAGAACTTACAATCAATAAGTTGTTTAATTTTTAAATTAAAATAAAATATATTATATTTAATAATTTAAAAAATAATAATTATAAATTTTACATTCAAAATGATTTTATAAAAAAAATCACCGACTGAACTTTTTAAATTGATAAAGAGCACTTCAGCCCTCGTGTATCTTGTGTTTATAATGAGGAAATTCTTGTTGGTGCCAGCAAATTGCATTTTGTCTGCCTATATTTAGATTCACAAGGTTGATAAGAGAAAGAAATGGCCAAATTTAGAATTGGAGTTGCCAAAAATGAATAAAGTGTTTCAAATAGTGGAATATTGCTAATAACTAATTAAATTCCACTCTTTTACTCCCAATAAACAAAAATTATCATTGCCTTTGCCACTCTTCCTTTTTGAGATCTATAAGTAAGGTATCAAGAAATTGAGCAAATTAATTTTTTTCAAATCATTTTATTATATATAAGATTCTTTTATATAAGTATAACTTTTTTTTTTTGGATTATTAATTTTAAAAATATTATTTTAATTTAAATAAATTTTAATTTTAATTTTAATTCAAAGATATAAAAAATTATATTTGGTATATATAAGAGTAAATAAAAAAGATGTGGTCATGAATAAATTATTAAATTTTCTCATTAAAAAAAAAAGGAAAACTACATATTAAACCTAGATATTGGCTATTGGATTGTTGCTTTGTCCATGATTGGAGATACAATTTTTTTTTTCTCTAATCATTAAAATGGGAAGTGATTTGTTTAAATTTAAAGTATATAAGTTATTCAATTTTCATATATTATATTTAATAATATAAAATAAAAGATAATAAATTATTTATTTGAAATAATTTCATTAAATAATTATCAATAAAATTTAAATTTAATATTTTTTTATTAAAAAAATAAATCTGAAGCACTCGTTGATGTTGGCAAGAGAATTATCCAACAAAAAAAGTATTTTAGGAAAGCCACGTACATGTTTGCAACCTTTCCATGTGAGCTTGTCGACTGGTCATTTAGCTTTCAAATTAAAGAGAGCCGACACACAGATATGTGTAACTTTATGGTCTTCAATTGAAAAAAAAAAAAAAAGGTTGCGGTCTTATCAAACAGTTCATTCACTAAATTTGGTTAGAAATATTTAATGTTCGGAAAATGATGTAAACATTCCCCTTTGCTTACTTTGATTCTGCTCCTCATTTTTTCCTAAGTTCAAATTAATTTGATGTACGGGTGGAACAGAGCAATGTCCATTGTCCAATTACAGTGATATAATCTAGGATATAGATAGGGTTAAGATCTTGCCTTTTTAATGGTTTTCTTTTAATCTTTGCCACATACGTCATTTTATCGGTAACAAAATTAGAACTTGGGCCATATTATTTAATGAAATAACAATTGGGATATCTTATTGTAATTGTTTTGAAATCTTATAGAATGAGAGAGTTAAAACGAAACCTATGACCTAAAAAAACCCATTAAAATGGGAATAATTAACTTTTGATTCTCTTTATTAATGGTATGTATAGTTTTTAATTTTATAAATCTAATTTACTACATTTCCATAAAATAATTAACTTGTACGACACGTCATTGCCAATAATTGCAATCATAATAAAGTTTAAAAGATGCAACACTTTATTAGTTTTATTTGTAAATGCATTGATAATTGATAGGTAAGTGAAAGTCTTTATCGAGGAGGACACGACACTCCACTTACTTATTCACTCATTGCAAGGATAAGCTAATGTTTGCTTAACGAAAATTATGTGGGCTCACAATGAGTTCAAGGTTGAAAGCTAAATCTTGTATGTTTCCCGATATATTTTGTTTTATTTAAATATTAATATTATAATTAGATTAATATTTTTTTGATAAAAAATGAAAAAGAATTTGAAGATAAATAGATTATTCAAATTTTAAGTTAAAATAAAATATATCGTATTTGACGGTTTAAGATATATAATTACAGATCGTATATTCGAATAATTTTAACAAGTGATCATTGATAAAATTTAAATTTAAAATTTTTTTATAAAAAAAATAAATTTAATCGATTGAATTAATCACTTATTAATATTAAATTAATATTTTTAATAAATTAATTTGAGTGGTTGTTGAACTGCATGAATATTAATGCGTTTTTTTACCTATAAAATAAGAACTATCCAAAAGGAAGGTCGGGTAAGATCTAGACAAGATTTACATGTTGGCCCAGCCTTGATCTAGTTGGCATTCCATTATTGGGTCTCACTTTTTATTTAAGCTCACTTAGGTGATAAATGGTTCATTTATGGCACGTTTAAATTCGTCCAATTTTTTTTTTAAATTATGATGTTTTAATTAAAAAATTTTTTGTTAAAATTTAAAATATGAATAATTTAATGTATTTTTAATTTTACATTATAATATTATATATTTACTTTTTATATTATATATAAATATTAAAAAATAATATTATATAATAATTAAGTCTAATTTTTTATATTATATTTATCTTGTATTCATATGAAACAAATATTTCAAATTTATTTCTATCCTCATTTGTACGAATATTTAATGGATATGAATAATTTTTACTTACTAAATTTTTTTAAGAAAATAAAAAATAAAGTTATTTCTTTTATCTTACACATTTAACTAATTTTTTTAATATGTATTTTTAAATACAAATATTTTAGTTTTAACAAATCTAAAATAAAAGTTATATTATTAAATAAAAATAATTTATTAAATATATAAATATATAAGATACCAGTACAGAATAATATTATATTATCCATCATCATATCTCTATTTAATAAAAAATTTAAAATTATATTTATTTTCGTTTTGATCCTCAAATTTTAATTAATGCTCATTTCATCTTCATTAAGATTAAAAATAGAATTCTCTGTGAAATTTAAATAAAATTAACATCTCTAAATTTCGCCGTCAATGTATTGAATAATAATTATATAAACATATAAATCCAAATGTAATGGATTTGTTTACTCCAAATCAGGAAAACGTTGGATCGGAAATCTGCGAAACACATGCTCTAACAATGTCTGGTCAGCTTCACCCCAAAAAGAGAACAATAAGTAGTTTTCATATATAGAATTTAACTTCTATTAAAATTTAATTGAATCTTCTTTTCCTTTTGTCAATATCTATATAAGACCAATTGAATTGAAAAAACCCTTTTTCATAAATGAATTTATTTCTTATAAATCTATGTTTGGTCACGAAAAATCTCTTAATTCTTTTGATCAAGATTTTTTTGCTTAAGCTTCTTTAATTGTATTTTTGATGTCAAAATTTGTGTGTCACATGACGGTAAGAGTTAATATTTATTTAACAAATAAAATCGATATATTGAATTTTATTTTATTTTATTATTTTTAATGAAAAATTTCATTCAAATAGTAACATTTTATAATATGATTTAAACTTTTATAGATATTAATCTATTAAGCAAATACCGAAAAAAATCATTGCACATGCAAAATTTTCAACGATTTAAGTGATTTTTTTCTTAACAAAAATAATCTTTTTTTGTGGAAATGCATAGTTTAACCCTATTTTTTGATTAAATGTATGCATGTTTATATTATAATTACATTTCCATCAAGAACAAGATCAAAATGTGAAACCCATAAAATATCAAAGGGGAAAACAACTCACATCAATGTTTCCAAAATGTTGGATAATCATCGACCCCTACTTTCATTTGAAGCATTCATGTAATAATTAGTGTTACCCGCATCACTTGCAAAAATGGCACTTGACATTCCCTTGTGGTTTCAAGCATTTTGAATGTCATCTTCTTTGTTGCCAGCCGCAAATGTGTCTATCCTACTTCATGTACAACAAAGCATGACAAAATTATTGCTGCCTAGCTACTTGTATAAGTCATGAAACAAACAATCAAAGATTATGGAAACTATTTTGTATTGTAGTTAATCAATTGATATGAATGTTAAATATAGAAAGAAATAAGAGTTCTTATAAATTAACCTTCGTTTTTAGATGTTATTGTTATTTATTTTTTATTTTCGAAAGTAAATTAAAACAGAAATCGTGTTTGATACAAAATCAAGCAAAAATTTTTTGAAAAATTATACACATAATCGGATGTCCTTTATCTTAACGGTAATCAAAAGGTTTTAAATAAAACCTTAAAATCTTCTATTCAAATTTTATTATATATGAGTTTAATTCAATTTTATCTTAAATTTATCAATTATATGATGACGGTGTGATTTTATTTCATCTCATGTGATCATGAAAACTAACTTTATGTTTCTCTTTTTTTAAAGAAAATGAATTTATATTGTGAAGTTTTTGTAAAGTTTTTACAAGGAGTAATAATAGTAAGAGAAAAGTTACATTTACGTGCAAATTGAAAATCTTAAATTTTTTTGAAAATAATTGAAAATCTTCCCAATTAATTCCAAATAAATCTTCCCAATAAGAAGTCCTCTGCATGTCCAATCCCAAAGATGCAGATCTAACAATGTAAGGGCCAATCCCTCCTATATATCAAACTACAGGCTGTATATCAATATCAATGTCACAAATGAAGGAATCGCCTGCCTCATGTCGTCCCCCAGTCAACCTCCACTACTGATCTCATCATCAAAACCCTACCAATGCATGCAGCATCGGTCATGAAAGCTAAGTATATAATATTGACCTTCAAAATCAGCATTTTCATCTGTGAAGCCAACGAAACGAGCCCTTGAATACAATCTATGCTTTGTTCATACCCTTAAAATTTGAGGTTAAACAGATGCATATCAACAACAACAACCTTTTTGAAATACTGATAAGCTGAGTTTCCCACATCTGTATTAGAAAACGCAGCGTTTGGTTGATTTCTTACACTCTTTCCTTCGTACATAAGCAAATGGCGGACAATATCGTGCTGGATACATATAGAAAAATATTCGTGGAAGCCATAATGTTTGGATATATATCCAAAGCCATCGATGCCAAGTGATTTGGAGCACCAAAATCAAACATTATCAAATTATGTTCAAAATCATAAAAAGTTTATGTTGGACCTTTAAATATATTTATTTATATTCCATCTCGTTTCTTTTATTGTGAGACTAACCTAACGATTTATATATATATTTTGGTGTAAATATTGAATTTCTTGTATTCGTGTTATATATTATATGAAAATTATATATCATAATTTATATAAATATAAAAATATAAAATATATATTTGATTTTATTAAATTTACATATAATTATTATTAAAATTTTAAATTATATTATTTTTATATCTTTTTTTATATCATGCAACTATGATAGAGCACTAGCCAATAAGATCCGATGGGACTAAAAGCCCATGCATGATTCTTCCATTCTCAATACAACGGTCCACTTAGAAATTTTTTGGGCCTAAAAAACATAGAAACCCATTCATCATGGACACTTACTCATCCTACAAGAAATGCTCTCTTTTTTTTATTATTATCTTAAAAGAAATGGTTTAATTTTAAGAAAATTATCTTATACATGAATAGTTACAAAATTTTCGATTGCACCATTACAATGGTGTCACATTTGATTATAATTAAAAAGATTAACAAAATAAAATATTATTAAATAGATATGTGTTGATTATATAAACAAATTCATGAATGGTATATATTTTTTTTACTCGAGTAGAAAGATATGACCATCCATATCTTTCATTCAAAAAAATTAAAACTTATATTTTTTGTTTGAGGAAAAAAATATATTTATGTTTAGATTTTATTGTGGAATCTCAAAATAAATAAAAGAAAAATAAAAGCCATTTAAGAAACGTTAATTGCTAAATGAATCCACTAATGATAGCATTATAATTATTTTTTATGAGAATGATAGCATATTAACATTATCCTCAGTAACACGAAATGCTTTTAAATTTTTTTTGCTTAATTATAAATATATAATATTAATAAAAAATTATTTTATATATTTTCACTAAAAATCGAATTAAAAAATTATTCCGTATCTTAGAATATATTTTTATTAATTATTAAAAAAATACATAAAATAATGCGAGTTGCTTTGCGATAAAAATAAATAAATAAATAAATAAATAAATCATAATAGCACATAACTACATCAATATCTATTATAAGATAAGATAAAAAAAGGACAATTAAAAAATGTTGATAATATATATTATTTATTAATTAAACCGACTATTTCAAAGAACCGGTCTAACAAAAAAGCCGCGTCAAGAAAACTGGATCAGAGGAATTGCTTATAAAGTTAATTTTCCTTACATTCTCTCATTTTCTTCTCCATCTTTCTTATCTTTTTTTTTTTTTTCACAAAATTTTCCATAAAAAATTTCTCACAGTTTCTTCTCTGCAAGAAGAACCCAAGAAAAGGCCCAATCACCGCTCCGACCCGATTCGGCTCCGGAATGGACTTTGAATCTGTAAGTTCCCCGAATCCCTCTTAGGCGTTCGATTGAGAATTTCGAAGGAAGCCTTTAAAAAAACCCTAATCGATCCATTTCTAGGGCTTTAGTTGTATTCTTGAATGTGTTTAATTGATTAAAAATTGAAATATTAACGCGGCGTTAGTTTTTGGTTTTTTATTTTGTTTTTGATTTTTGAAGGATTCGCGATTGTGAATGCTGGTTAGGGTTCTTGAAGCTCGAAGGAATCGCTGCTTTGAAATATATAATTCGATTTGGGATAAGAAGTTAGTGTTAGGGTTTTCGATTGTGGGACCTTGTTTTTTTAAAGGAAGAAATTGCAGGATTGGGGTTTGGATTTTTAGGGTTTGTTTTGGTATTGATTTTCGAAACGGGGAAGATAGGTGTGGGTTAGAGGATAATGTGTATACTGTGTGTGATTCAGAAGTGGTCTCGCCGGGTTGCCACCATGCTGCCTTGGTTAGTTATGCCTCTCATCGGCTTATGGGCCCTTTCTCAGCTTTTGCCACCTGATTTTCGATTTGAGATCACGTCCCCAAGGCTGGCTTGCGTTTTTGTGCTTCTGGTTACCCTTTTTTGGTATGAGATTTTGATGCCTCGGTTATCTGCTTGGCGGGTTAGAAGGAATGCACATCTCAGGGAGAGGAAGAGGTTTGAGGCTATAGAATTGCAGAAGCTTCGTAAGACTGCCACACGAAGGTGTCGGAACTGCTTGACTCCGTATAGGGATCAGAACCCTGGTGGTGGTCGGTTTATGTGCTCTTATTGTGGCCATATTTCAAAGAGACCTGTTTTGGACTTGCCTGTACCACCTGGTTTGGGGATTTCAAATTCTGGGATTATTAAGGATCTTGTTGGAAAAGGTGGGAAAATCTTGAATGGAAAGGGGTGGTCTGAGAATGGATGGATGTGTGGGCAGGATTGGTTGGAGAATGGCAACTGGGTTGCTGGTTCTGTTGCTGGGAAGCCTAGCTATTGGCGGAAGAATGGCACTGGAGTTTTTGGAGGAGATGAGGATTGTTTGGCAGAGAAATCTTATTCTGGCGTTGTTATTTTTGCATGCAAGCTGCTGACGTCCTCCTTCTTGAGCATTAGGTGGCTTTTGAGAAAGATTTTTAGGGTTAGTTCATCGAGTGATGATGCTTCATCTGATGCAGACCACAGGGGGATGTTGACTAAGATAAGTGAGAATGGTACAAACTTCCAAGAGAGCAGAGGAGAGAAAGCGCGTAGAAAAGCTGAAGAAAAGAGACAGGCTAGGTTAGAAAAAGAGCTTTTGGAGGAAGAAGAGCGAAAGCAAAGAGAGGAGGTTGCAAGATTGGTGGAGGAACGAAGGAGACTGAGGGATGAAAAACTGGAGGCTGAAAAAGATCACAGCAAATTATCACCACCTGCTAGGGAGAAAGAGATAAAAAAGGAATCAGAAAAGAAGCGTCAAGAGAGAAGGAAAGACAAAGATAAGGCATCTAGTAAGAGCAATTCTGATGTAGAAGAGCTTGAGAAGAGAGTCGGTAAGGAATCTGAACGTAAACGTGACACTGATAAGAAAAGTGAGCTTGATCACCGGGAACAACAGAAGTCTGGGGCAGATAATGTCAAGGGCAATACTCTAGAAACAGGACATGGAATGAAAAATACTTCTGCAAATAATTTTAGCCGGGGGAATGCTGGAACTAGATACTTCGATCGTATGAGGGGCACATTTTTGTCATCATCTAAGGCTTTTAGTGGAAGTAGTTTCTTTGGAAAGAGTACTAATACTCCTTCCATTACAAAAGAAAGCAAAACTAACAATTCTGTAGACCAGGTCCATACTTCTGTCCATAGGAGAGATTTCTGTACATCTGAGCGTGTAGCTGGGAAGTTGAGTATGAACGGAGATGATAAGAATGTTAAAGTCAACCACCCTGTAAGTTCTTTAACTCTGTTTGTTATTTGAGTTCATTGTTTTAGTAAATTAGTAGAATTCTTACCTTTTTATGATATGAAATAAATTTATTTTCTTTTGAATTTATCTCAAATGCACAACTACTACTAACTAGTGCAAATTACTATAGCTATTAACAGCAGCCATCAGCCAGATTCAGTGCTATATGAAACTTTTCTTGCTTTCCTTGTTAATTGAATTTCTGGAATTATTATGTTCTTATACTGTAGAATTTGATGGTTTCTTAAGGATTATGCTTTTTGGTGCATTATAACAATTTATCTATAAGAAAACAGTGTTACAACATGGAGCTGTTAACTGCAGGTGCTTTCAGAACCCCAACCGAGGGCACCACCTAAAAAATCTTGGCAACAGTTATTCACTCGTTCACCTTCTGTTCCTCCTGTCTCAAATGCAAATGTTATTAGTAGACCAAATACAAAGATTAATGCGGAAGCTCGGAGCCCACCATTACCTGGTCATTCCTCAGCAATACAAACATTTGATAATCCCATCAATTTTGGACTGCCCTCACCATTTATATCTACTTACCCACATGGAGCTCCCAGCTGTAGTTTAGGTTTCTCCCCTGCAATTGAACCCATTTTTCCTCGTGCTTCTGAAGGGTTTCATGAATTTATACCAGAAGAACCTGAACTTTTTGAAGATCCCTGTTACATTCCTGATCCAGTATCCTTGCTTGGGCCCGTTTCAGAATCGCTTGATAATTTTCAGTTGGATTTGGGTTCTGGCTTTGGAATGGATATGGGGATGGAAAGGCCTTGTGCTTTGAAGAATATATCTGCTTCATCTGAAATTAACAAGCCCTCACCTATTGAGTCTCCATTGTCAAGATTACGATCTGCTGATGAAAGGCATAACAATTCTAATTGGCTCCCAACTACCCCAAAGGCCCAAAATCTTCACACTTTTCCTGTGGATGATACTAAGGCAAATGAGAAAGGGACATGGCAGATGTGGAACAGTTCTCCCCTTGGTCAGGATGGTCTGTGTTTGGTGGGTGGTCCCACAAGCTGGCTTTTACCCCTGGAACATAATGGATCAAACAAGGAAGACTTTGTGCAACCCTCTACTCAGAAAACTATGGCATCGTTGTTCACAAAAGAGGACTTTATACTTGCTGGCACACAATCTCCTCAGAAGGTTTTTCTTGGTAATGGTCAGAATGGTGGAACATTCAGTCCTGTAATAGGTCCAAGTGATCACGATCCTTGGTTACAGAATGCTTTCTTTCCACCATTGTCTGGCAGTGATAACCATTTTCCTATCAAGCCTCAGGAGGAAATGAGTGAAATGAGTTATGGAAGTCCCAGTGGATCTGCATGTACCCATCCATTTGAACCATCTCCTGCAAATTGTTGGCCCAAGTGAGTGCATCTAACTCATATCCTGCCATTAAATGCTAACGTTTCATGTAGTTGTAGATGGAAAAGCAAGAATCTTGAATGTTGACTATTTTATTTGTTGACTCATTTTATTATTGATTTGATTATTTGAATGAGATATGTTTACTCTTGGCAGTTTAAGTTAGCTCTAATTGTCTGGAAGAATTGTAGTAGTGGAAATTATTAGTAGTATTTGAGGAATATAATTTTTTGTATCTTTTGGCCCTATCGTTACTCTTGGATTTGAAGTAAGCTATGAATGACAGAAACTGTAGTATTATGGAACTTATAAGTCTTCTAGGAGTAGAGTTCCTGCATCTTTGGCTTAATTGAGTTGTTAATACTTAATTATACATAATGCTAAATCCGAAACTGCAGAACATATGAGAAATAAAGCTGACAATTGTTTTTGGATGCTTGATAAGCATGTTCTCAAAAAAATTCATGATTTTCTTTTGGGGAAAAGGAGTTTGTCAATTTGTAGAAAATTTGTTTGTAGTAAAAAGCTGTGGTTGAAGGTGTCTTTGGAGTTGTTCGTGCTTGAATTGCTTTATCTTTATCATTGCTGAACTTTGGAGGGTGGTTAGGTCTGTTCATTGAATAATCCATCTGAAAAAATAGGCAGTTGTATTTGTGTCGCCTTGTTTGCTTAATGCATTTTCTCGGTTTACAATTTTATTCATAATTTGTATATGTTGTCTGATACTTGTTGGGCACTGTTATCTTTTGCAGGAAGGAGTGGGGTATGCAAGGTTCAGGAGAAGCTGTTGGAAAGTCTTCGGTTGCAAGGCCCCATGTTGGGGTTTTATTTCCCGCCTCAGATGTACAGTCACTTTGGTAATTTGATTGAGATAGGAAAAGAGTGACAAATTGCCAATTGGAGGGACTTTAAAATACATCTCTCTGTTTACACTTCTCAAGAGGGAAAACATATACTCTTTTGGGGGGGAGAATTTAGAATACTTGATGCATTGTATTTTCCTTCACTTCTTTACGAAGGAGATTAACGTTTACTTTAACATTAGCTTGGATAGGAAATACACGTGGCATGCATTCACTTGTGGCGTAAGGTAACAGCTAGGTAATCATACCGTTTCTTAATTCTTTTTAGCTTTTATAAATCTGCTGCGGGGGGGTATCCCCCTTTTGAGGTTGGATTTGTTCAATGGGCAGTTGGAAAGCTATTCCACATCTTGGTTGCTTTATCTTTTCTAAATCTTCAGCTGAATGGATGTCCTAAAGGTGATGATACTTGGTATGGCATGGCCTACAATGCATCTGTTTATAAATAAAGTCGCTTGTACTCAACACCTTCGCCTCTAATGCCCAGAGAATCCCACCCTAACCCTAATTGGGATGATCATTTCTCGTATCATTCAAACAATTTGTGTCTTATTTTATGTACATGTTGAGTGCGGCTATTGGTATTCAATATCAAACGTTTCTTCTTAGAAAAGGCAAATTGGAAAACACAATAAATGTAAGTTAAGGGATAACTGGCTATTTGATCTGAACTCATTGCAACCATAGAAACCAGAACGGCTCTGATTTCATGAATAACATTGTTTTAATCGACATCTTAATGTTCGTAGTTCTGAAGATTTTTGAGTATCGTCTTAAACAATGGTTTGTCATCTGCTCTTCGCTTTAATAGAAAACCAAGAGATTACCACAGAAGAATGCTTATGCATTAAACAAGCGTTTGCAATCGCGGGTGGTTCAATTGAAGTACATGTAGAAACGCATCAAGAACCAATACAAACACAGCTAATTATATTAATATTAAGGATAATAATTTCACGACACCCAAGTGATTTAACATAGTGAACATTATGAGCTGTGAGTTGAAACAACATGAACTGGTTGTAGGACAGGAGATGGCTGCAGCTCTTGATGCTCAGGGGGTGGTTGTTGCAGCTGCTGCTCGCCTTGCCAAGTCCAAACGATGTCACTCAGAGCTGGTCTTATGTCTTGCTTCATTACTTTTTGATACTCGAATGTATCTCCATTGCTCTTCTTTACCTCAACCAGATGGAAGAGTGGAGTAATTTCAAAGATTTCAGCATCAATGCCTAGAACACCCTTTTTGCCTTCTTTGGAGCCTTCTATTTTCAACAGCCCTCCATCTTTCTTCGTTATTTTCAGCTTTAGACTCTTAGCAATGTCTTCCAGTTTGGAAATGATGGTTGATGCAGCTTTGTTTGATGTAAATCGGATTTCTTTCTTTTGTTCTCTTTCCTCAAATAAACCAGACAAGTCAAAACCTGCAGAGAAGGATATGATATCAAAGGCATTCAAGTTGCAAGGCTTTGGCAACTCTTGCTTCTTCTCGACAACAGTAGCAGTACTCTCATTCAAATTAAATACGGTATCCGCATCTAATGCAGCTGGTTCTTTAACTTCAGCATCAACAAGTTTGGGTTTGGGGTCCAACCCCGTTCGGAACCAGGGATTCTCCATTATCTTGGCCAAGGATATCCTGGTACTTGGATTTGGATCCAAAATTTTTGACAGCAACTTGCGTACTTCAGGGCCGAACCAGTTAGGAAACTTGAACTCTCCTTTGCCAATCTTCCTGTACATTTCCATCAGATTTGAATCATGGAATGGGAGATAGCCAGCCAGTAGAACATATAAGATAACCCCACACGACCAGATATCAGCTTTGCACCCATCATAGCCTTTTCTGTTGATCACTTCCGGAGCAACATAAGCAGGGGTCCCACAGGTTGTGTGGAGCAATCCATCTTGTCGCTTTGATTCAGCAAGAGCACTCAATCCAAAATCTGTAACCTTAAGATTGCCGTGCTCATCCAACAACAAGTTTTCTGGTTTGAGATCCCGATGGTACGCACCTCTACTATGGCAGAAATCAACTGCACTGATTAGCTGTTGAAAATATCTTCTTGCAGCATCCTCTTTCAACTTTCCTTTTACAACCTTGTTAAAGAGTTCACCTCCTTTAGCATATTCCATAACAAAGTAAATCTTTGTCTTGCTGGCCATTACCTCATAAAGCTCAACCACATTCGGATGTCTTACTAGTCTCATAACAGAAATTTCTCGCTTAATCTGATCAATCATCCCAACCTTCAACACCTTCTCCTTGTCAATTATCTTGATGGCCACACTCATACCAGTTGTAAGATTCCTCGCATGGTGCACCTTGGCAAAGGTTCCCTGGCCTAATAATCTCCCTAATTCGTACCGCTGCATCAACACAGTCCCTTTTCTGTCCATTCTCAGTGAAGTTCTTTTTCAAACACAATAGAATCTAACTTAACAGCTAGTGCTATATACGTGATTTAGGCTATAAATGCAAGTGTAACCGACCTAAAGATGTTAAAAGCTCAACCATCTTCACAAACATCATGCTTTGACATGATATGTTCCCTTAAATTTCTAGCCACACAAGGCATCAGAGCATGACACCGCACCTGACTGTAAGTTAAATGTTGATTATCATTGGATACAAAAAAGGGAAGCTCAAATGAAGCTACTACTTCATTAACCTCAGATAGATGGTTCTCAGCTTTCAAGCACATCTTTCAGCATTCCCTGATTTCCTTGTGAACAAGAAAATACTCTAAACGAGATTAAACAGACCAGCAGAGAGAGTCGCACCGGGTTAGACCAAAGTTCACAAATAGACGAGTGTTTCACCTGGAAAAGGATTTTGAACAAAACCAGAGTCAATAACAATACAATTTACAAAAATTATGGAAATCTAAAGAATTAAAAACTTTATCAAATTGGTACTACCTAAAGAATCATACTCAGATCTAATTAAGAACATATGTCATGATGAAACACACAAAATAAAGAAAAAGCAATAACAACTCAGGTTTAGCCAAATGTTGGAGTTGTTTCTTTTTCTTATGAAGGTTAAGATCAAAGGCTAATGTCCCCTTTTGCCTAGATTTTCTTCAATCCTACCCAAAAAAAATTGAAAAATGAAAAAAAAAAAAACTAAGAGGAAAAAGGAACTGAATTTGTAAGTGAAACTGAGAGACAAAATCAAGCATACCCTTCAACAGAAAGATAAAGAAAACATCTTTAATAAAAGTCTCTTCTTTTTCTTTGAAACTGCAGCAAAGGAGAATCATTTGTTTACCAACATTATTAATTGAGTGGATAAAAAAGATTCAATTCCTGAGAAGCCTAGCTAGAAACCTGAAACAACCACCACTAGTTTCTTATCCTCAAAATCTTCACAGCAACCAAAGAAAAAGAACCAAATTTAAAGATTTCAAATCAAACTATGACAACCCAAAGTAACGAAATTATCAAAACAAGCCAAGCCAACAAAAATTAATCTGAAAAGTCGAGTTTGAAACTTGTACCGTCAAACGGGCAAAAATTTCTCCTTTTTTTTTTTTTTTTTCCCTCAGGAAACAAACGGATGCAGAAGTAAAGAGAAAGTAGAAAACAGCTGGCTATGACCCTTGGAATGGGTTTATGAGGTGTGTGATTCATTTTATAATACCAAAGGAGCAGGCAGCCTACCAACCTTATTTTAGCAGTGGAAAATTTTGATTTTATGTCTCAACTCGAATTCACCAAATGCCATTCACTGTTATTCAGCTTCCAAATAAAAACAATTGCCATTTGATTCTAATTAAAGGAAAATTCAATTTGGTGCGGTGGGTTTCTTATATATATATATATATATATATTCTCTCTTTCAGCTTTTTTTTTTATTTAAATTTAGAAAATCGGTTCAAATAACGAAGAAATGAGTTATTTTTTAATCATAGTTCAATTTTTATGAAAATATTTTAAGTGTAAAATCTTAAATTTATTATGTTGATATAAAAGATTGTATTTTTAAAACCTTTTCAAAAAGATATTAAATTTAATAAAAATTTGAGGATTTTTTATTATATAAAAATAATAAAAATTCATAAAATAAAAAAATACATATAAAATATGTAAATTATTTTTCTTGATTTGGAAGGGATGAGATTTCAAATCTAAAATTTTAAAGTTTAACTTAAATTTCAATATATATCAATCAAAATACTTATAAAATTAAACATAGATTTGCTGTTAACTTGTTTAATTAATTTTTTTGGTTAAAATTCTTCAAGTTTTTACTGAAAATCAGTTGACCTGTGTAGAAACATTTGAAAAAAAATATGTTGAAAAAAGGGAGCAAATTGGAATAAGGATATTTTTTTTGTGATCAAAAATAAATAAAACTAATTTTCAACGAATTTTCAACTTTGGGAGCCAAGCAGCCACGTGAAGCTTCGTGTGACACGGGGAATCAACAACCAACCAGAAGACGACACGTTGGAACAGAAATATCGCGCTGGGAACATAAGCGTATAGGTGCGACCTTCCTCAGGCACTGTTGTAACATGTAACCAGACGAGCGTCATTATTCATGTCAGACAACCTTCAACCTCCACTCATGACCATACACGTGTCCCTGAAAATAATCAGACATGATGCCACGCAACTCGGACATTTTTGTCCGTTATATTACGTGGTCGGATTTTAGTTTTCCGGGTCCCACGTTTGAGAGATTTCTGCTTTTTGTTTGTTTGTTTTGCAACTGCTTGTCAACATCTGTTTGTCATTTATATGATTGCTAATTTTCAATTTTAAGTCGTTTAAGAATGTTTGTTGTATGATTTTATTTTATTTTAATTGAATTTTCACTTTAATATTTTTTATTTATTTTAATTTATTATTGACAATAAAAAAATTGCATGATTTTATTTTAATAATTGATTGGGCGGTAATGATTGGATCGTTGCACTAAACCCTTGTCAAATTGTATGCAAAATTTAAGCTATGATTTCATCAATTTAATCTCTTTATGAGACCTCATATTTTTATCTCATAAATGTCATAAAAAATAATTTATTTAAAGTTGTTTATAAAATGAGACGTCATCTTTATTTTTTTCTCATAAATTTCATCGATATTATTAAATTTTAATCCCTCAAAGTTAATGTCTACCTACAAAAATGAATAAACGATCTTATACCTAATAATTAACAATTGAATTGTGATTTATAATCAAGAGCCATTCTTTTACTTATTTATTGAAATATTCTTTTAAAAAAAAATCATAAAAAAAATTACATTAAATATCTAAAACAGATAATTTCTCCTAATATAATTGACGCAGTCTAATAATCATTACTCTAGTATATTAAGATTATGTATGCAAAAATTAAGATGAGATATTTTATTTATTAGTTAAAATTATTTTTTTTAAATTTATATAATTTAAATTATTGATATAATTTTTAAAAATATAATAAAATATATAAATTTAATCTTATAAATTAAAAAAATATTTTTTATTTAAAAAAAATTAAATTATCTTATATCAAAAGAATGATAATTTTTTTTATAATCTTATCTTTCAATTAAATATAAATAAAATATAATATAAAATAATTATCATATTATTTTATCTATTATTTTATATATAAAATATAACCTAAATTAATTAAATGTATGATAGATTTCTATTCTTTCTAATCCTCCGGTAGGGAAATTGTTAGACAACTTAGTGTTGCGTTGTACTTGCCAAATTGGAACTTTATAAACGTGTCAATACGTTTTGCAGACAATATCGTACGATGAAGTCTGTGAAATGGACAAGGTTGGATAGTGGGTCTGGGTCTAAGCAAGGTTGACAACTAAAGTCTGTCGGTTTTGGTTTGCTTTTACTCATGTTTGGTTTCTACTTCGACCCGTCATTCCACGTGTATACATCAGTTCTGAACACTGAACAGCATGCATGATAAACGTGCCATTTGTCGTTTCATTGGCCAAAACTGAACCATTGCTCATTCACCATGTCACTGCTGTGGTATCACCACTCTCCTTGAAATTTCAATGGATACCAACATGTCAATGTTACACATGCCGAGCACAAGGTACTGTTTGTGTGTCTAACTGATTTTTCACGTAAGCAAAGATGTCTAAAATCCAAGCCCAAAGAATGCTTTAAGTGCATCAGTAGTAAATCGTGTCTTACAACCTATTAATATTGTAATTCTTATCCATGGTAACTTGCAAACCGGGGAGTGAAAGCCTTTTTATACTATATTACAACAACAGATCCTTGTGGTTTTATAGATAATTGAGGCAACAATTATGAATCTGCCAGTGATGCTTGCTTGGAATCGTTACAGGCATGGAGTATGGTGCATACATCAGTTGTTTCCAGAAAGTGCTCTGTATTTGCAAGGATCAGAGGCCCGTACTCGAAAACTAGCCTCTTACACTGACAAGAAAAACACAAGATAACAGATAAGAGTTATAAGTCGTCCATGGGAAGTAGGGGGAAATCAAGAACCAGGCAGGAGAGCAATGAATCAAATTCTATACATGGGAGATTTCTTCTTACATTTGTTAATGTGACCCTTTGACTCTTAAACACAACAACTTGAATAAAAAAGACAGTTACATTAAAAGTACCTATCAATGGAGATTTATAATGGATGCATAACAAAACTCAAGGTTAAAAGTACCAGCAAGTTTTTTTAATTATACTAACCTTGTTCACATAGTTCTGCATTGAATTACATCCCTTCAATAGGAGCTCAAGTATCTCCAGCTGGCATCGAGGCAGAAAAGGAGTATCAAATTAGCAATATTGCCATCTCTTATATTGCAAAAGGTATATACTGGTAATAATCCACATGATCCAGCTTTGGAAGCAGGCATACCATATCAAATATCTGGAAATAACACAGTATACTAGCAACACATCAACATCTCCACTCCCCACTTACAAACCAGTCCTGCCAACCCTCATGTTGTCGGTAAATACATTATATGTCACTGACATTGCTTACATTTTGGCATGATAACCCAACATTGCATCTATATTCTAGGAACATTTTACTGACTTAGAGCAGCTAAAAGGAAACTAATAAAAGAAAAGAGAATGCAAGAGAACCATCTACAATGCCACCCACAGCGCCCCACCCTCCCCCTCCATCCACTCCAACAAAAGAAGAAAGGAAAAGGTTGCATACATACTGATTCAAACAAAACAGAAATTCTGTTCGGGCATGAGGATATCCAATTATTCATAAGAGCAACCCTTGTAGGCAGACATTTATTTTTAAAAAAAGATGGAGTACTGCAAACCTGTGTATCAGGATCTTTCAACTTAATTAGTATTTCTGAAACAGCACGGTGGCACATGCCACAGCTATCTTCACGGATTTGTGAAGATATAAGTGCAACTTTTTGACAAAGGTTGACCTTTGTACAGAAATCTTCAGGCTGTATTGAAGAGATTTCCATGAAGAAGAGAGGAACATAATAGTCCACCAGTGAAATGCACTGTGAAGTACAGATCAGATAGTCATTTAGTATTTTTGGACTTAGGAGGAGAACAAAAGGAAAAACACCAATTTAAAAAAAAATAAAAATCCATGAACATCAATTGGGAAAATGATTTTCAATATTTTATGCTTTTAGGTTTACTGCTGAGTTGGCACTTAACCATCCCCTTCTGCCCCATAAAGTTTTGCTTAACTATACCTATGTAAAATATGTTTGATATTACTGCATGAGACTTAATGCTTATCGTACCTGTAACCTATTCGGCCTTAATTGATAAAGGCAGATTTACCATTTAAACTGATGTATCATGCTTCTGTAGTCAATGAATGAATCAAATATAATGATGAAAATTTCTGTAGTCAATGAATCTAATATAATGATAAAAAATTGACCTATACACGAATATATCCTGCTGGTCTTTCATTATGCATGAGGAAAAGATGTATATATATCAGTCCAATCATCTAATTAACCATGGCATGCTTCTGGCTAGACAGCCTGAAAAGTGGAATGTCAGCAGGTTCTGATGAATGGAACTCTACCAACACCAAACATTGAAAGAATTTCACCTATATAAAAGAGGATGACGAAAAACAAGAAAGCCAAGACTCAAAGAAGAAGGAAGTCAGTGGAGAAGGAGAAAGTTTTGCTTTTCTACTTCTACTTTTTCATTTCCAATTGGGGGTTGAAGGATGGAGGATGGACACAAATTATCTATTTCTAATTCACACCAGAAAAATTCAATAAGCCACCTCCATGCAACTAAGCTAGATGACTACCTGCTGCTCAAATGATGGTATACGGGAGCAGCTCTCATGAAGCTTCTCAACTATCTCAGTCTGTGTCTTGTTTTGTGAAAGGAAATCAATTGCCTCAGTAACAAATTCCTCACACAAGGTGCACACATTGTCATTCCGAGCAACCTTTTCTACTACTTCCCCATCTTGCCCCTGGTTTATCTGCACAACTGAACCAGGAATTCCATGTCATTACAGCTGATTATTTCCTCTCTTTCATTGAACAATCTTAGTTTAAAAAGTTAAACAATATGCAAATCAAATTCTTAATTGACAAAGGAAAGTATATGGGCATCTGAATCTCAGTACATAATCAACGAGCATTCATTTAGGGATCTCACTACCGTCAATGATCACTTTTGGCAAATGTGCCAAAGTTTCAAACATCTTCTAAATATGGAAATTAATTCATGATGCAATATGCAAGAGATACATTAACAGTTGAAGTAAACAGCCCAGATAATCAATGTCGGTGAATTAGCCTCTACATATTTTGAGGCAACAATCAGATCACCTTTGAGGATACAATTTTTGATGTAGTAAATTTTGTTATGTTAAGATTCTCTAATTCAAACAGCCAAAAGGTAAGAAGAAAGGTTATTGGAGATATTGTTTCACTGCTTTACTCAAATGTTATAACCAGAAGGAAGCAGTAACATAGGGTGGCAAGTTACCACATCAGGCACCCCATCTTCATACACCATATACAAAGTTATTTCACATTTGAGGTGCAAAAATCAGACCAACCATGTTGACCTGCACAACTAGCCTGAACACAAGCCATCTTTACCAAACCCAAAAGGCCTGCAGAACCCTTCTGAAACCCAACCTGAATTAATCCCAAAAGTGACCTAAAGCTAACCCAATATTATCTTAAAGGCCAAAAATTAAAAATGTTCGGAACATAGAAAAACCAAATCCAAACAAAAACTTGAACCAAGCCCTCCAATTGCGAGCTCTATCTCAAATCCCCAACCAAGTTTGGAATTCAGCTGCCAATTTAATCATTAATTTAATTCAAACATTTTCACAAGCAAGTAATTTAAGGGACCTTAGAACATATTCATCATGAGATTCAGATCAGCAATTATTAGGCAGTAACTTCATCTGAATATGGATAATTACTCATTAACAGAGTGATTCTGTGAATCATCTTTCTCGTCTTACCAACAAACAAACAAAACCCTCACAACATAAAAATTCACCCTCCGCCACTACTAGGAAAAGAAAACAAGAATCTTTAAAAACTGAAGAGAGACGAGAGATTACTAAAACTCTAACAGAATTACCTGATGCATCAGAGATTACCACCTCAACAACTTCTAGTTGTCTAGCATCACATGCCCAGCTAGCACCCAACACGAAAAGGAACAAGAACCCAAATCTCACATCCATATTGCCTGGAGTTATTAATTAAATAGCATGAGAATCCCATAATGCAAATTTAGAAGGACACTAAAAGGAAACAAAAATAAATGTCTTTTAGACAAAATTTTTAAACTATGTCGTGCCAGTTCTAAATGGCATCCAAATCACTTAAGAGCTGTGGCCATAGTTGAAAAGGGACAAATACCAATACACAAACTAAAATTACCCTTAATCACTAGCTATATCTCACTTTCCAGTTAATCGTTCGAAAGAACATCATACATCCGAGATAGCAAGAAGCCGGTAGTAACTCTAGAACAAGCAAAGTATTCTTGAGGCAACAGCCTCGATTAATCTTAATCTAGAAGAGAAAACCAAAAAAAATCTGAAATTATTCTTGAATCTTTCAAAACTCACAGATTATTCCAACACCAATAATTAAAACTTATAATACTTAACATATATTCTTGATTCTTTCAATACTAACACAAATACAAGATGAAACTAATCAAACTACTCAAAAGCAGATCAACATCAACATGATGAACAAAAACAATATTGAATCTTTCAATGATTAAATTAAAACATAACATGATGAACAAAAACAATATTAACAATAATATAGATGAAAGACAAACCAAAGTTTTTAACAAAGAAAAAGAAGAAAACCCATCAAAGATTTCTGCATAAAATTCAACAATTGAAACAAATTAATTGCAAAAAAGCCAGATTAACATAATATATATTTGGGGTTGAGATAAAATCTATGAAAATTGAAAGAAAAAAGAGAAAGAAATTGATTGGAAGCGAAAGCTTTTACCCTTGGAAAGAACGGTCAGCGCCTGAGAAAGATTGTATGGAAAGGAACCTTATTCCTTTTGAGTGTCTGGTTGGGCAAGGCGTTGAATTGTCGTTGGCATTGGCTTGGGTTTGGCTCCACCCTTTTTAAACTCATCCGTTCACGAGGTTTTGCTAAGCTGCGGTCTGTTACATTCTTTCCTAGTTAATCATTTGTTCCGTTTATTTCGTTACTGTTTCATTTTATTTTTGGGTTAAAATTTATCAATTTTGGTTTTTATTATTTTAAACATTTTATAAATACACGCATTTAGAACTGCTTCACTTAAATTTTTTAGATTTTTTCATATTTTAATTCATAATATATACAAAATAAAAAAATTAAATTTCCAAAATTTTGATTAATAAAAGTCAAAATATGACAATTTAAGTGAATAGAAAGAATACTTTTATCTTCTAAAGTTCATTTTTTAATGAAATTGCAATAAGTAAAATATACATTTATGCAAAGAAACATTACTCAAATATATAATATAATTTTCATATTAAAAAAATTAATCAACAAATAAATATGATTAATATATATTTAGACATTGGATATTAATATACACATATATTATTTAATTAATTAATTAATTTTATATTATATAAATAAAAATAAAAAATATATAATAATCAAATGTGAGTTTAAAAGAAAGTTTATTTAATAAATTAAAATTTATCTATTTTTATTTGATAAAATCCAAGTTGCAATTTGAAATAAAAACACATTATAAGTGAGATTTTAAAATTTAAATTTATTAAATATTATTTAATTATATGAATCAATTAAAATAAATTTTAAAATCATAAAATTTACATACGTAATGTTATTTTATATTTAGGTGACTTGTCATTTCTATCATGTTACATTGGCTTTTTTTTTTTCCAATTAATCTATGAAAATAAAATTTTAATTTTTTAAATAAACAGAGACATCCTTTTCTTCCTCCGATAATACTAATGAGAAAAGGACAGCTACCTAACGTGAGAGTGACTTGAAGTTTGGACATAAGGACATCAATTTTTCGTCCTTAAAATTAAAAAAAAAAAGAGATGCTATTATAAATTTTAGCAATCTAACTTTGTGAATTACAAAATATTCATTTTTATAACAAATTTGTTGTTTTTATATCTCAAAATTTTTTTTCTCTTTTTTCCTTTTCACATTATAATATTTAACTTTAATATTTTTATTTTCATGTTTGATAAAGATTTGAACATATGTTAATATTGTTTGAATGTGGAACTGTTAACTTTAGAATTTAATTTTTATCAACTTCAAATACAACATATATATATTACTGTTTGATTTCCCAGATTAAACAAAATTTGAAAGTTCAAGCAATTCACACCAAAATTGGTGACTTGATTTCAGGATATTGTACCACAAAAAGCAAGAGATATTTGTTGAAGAATTTCTTGCAATCATGGAAGTATTCATCATGATGTTTATGAATCAGAATATTTCAGTTCTTAAGCTTTGATCATTGAGATCAGTAACTGCACCAAGGGGGCCATGGAGTTTTTGAAGCAGTGAATGAAGAAATGTAGATGATATCATCACTTTCATATTATTATTCATTTCATGGTGGACTATATTGGGGTTGAAAACCTCAATGTTAAGCTTTCTGATTTTAGAATGCTTGGATGTGACTGATCAATGGGGTTTGTTTAAGGTTTTCCTTTAGTTGGCAAGTTTTTGCCTGCATTCTGAATATAATTGGTGCGTTTACTGTTGCTAGCCATTGCCTTTGTAAGCTCGTCTGTTTCTAGTTGATTGTTGGTTTCATTCATCCTGAATCCTGATATATACTAAAGATCAATACTCCCATAAAATAAAGATGGCAAATGGAACTCACAATTGTGAAAAGGTGGGCTGTAAGCGAACCGATTACGAACAAATAATATGTCTGTAGTTTTTCATTTATTTTTTTTAGATATTCGGTTTCGGTTTGTATTTAGTAAAAATATTATTTTGTTCATTTGAATTCGATTTGTTTAAATGATAAGATATTCACGTTTGATTTAATTGAATTAAACGAGTTCATCTATAAATATTAAACGAACATGTTCATAAACGAATATATTCATTAACAACAAATAAATCATAAACAAATAAATCTTAAACAAATATAAATGAACTTTAGAATAAAATTAAGATAGATGATAAAAATATAATTTTATTAGTATTATTATAAATAAATAAACAATAAACAAATAAGTTTTAAATAAATTTTTAATGAACTTGTTTACAAATATAAATGAATAAAACAAATCTTTATTCATGTTCGATTTGTTTAATAAATGAATATAAACCAAACATATTTATGAATAGGTCATCGAAAATTTTGTTCGTTTACGCCCTTACAAGAAGGGATGCTTGCTAAATGTTCATGGTCGAGAGACTACCCAGTTTGGAGCTACGGGTTTGAGAGAATTTTTCTCAGGAAATCGTGATGAAACAAACAAATGAATTAGACGTTGTTGGTCTGAGTTATACTCGCTTACTTGTAGTTTTTTTTATGTGGGGTTTTGAGGTTGGCTTGTTAGCTATGTGGATCTTGCGGATTTCTTCTTGCTGAATCAATGATTGTTTATGCGTTGCCTTTGATTCCTAACTTTGACTGATGGCTTTTGTACGTTCCCACTAGTTGTTTTGTCATATTGATACTCAAAGGCTTATTCTTCTTAGGAACAAGCGTCATGTAGAGGTCTCTCCTTTTGTGATGCCGGGCTTTGTATTAAAGCATATGGCGGCTTTCATGAGGTTAACGCGATGAGCTTCTTTCTTATTGTTGGGTTTGCATTTGAGTTATTGTCGGTTGTTTTTGTCAGGGTTCCCTTTGGCTCTTCCTATTTGTTGGGATTGAGGTATATTTTTAGTTTCATGACAGGACTCTCTCAATATAAATAATAACAATAGTCACCCATTTGATAGCAAAACTTCAATCAAACAGAACCCTTCATGCATATTCGTATCACTATATTGCAATCATTAATCAACCTTCATTGCTTCATCATCCTTATGGAGCTTGGATTTTCTCCTTTTTCTATCCTGCTTAACATCCTCATATTCTTGTTCATCTTAGTGAGAATAGTTCAGATATTGAAATCTAAGAATCCTGTCAAAAAGCTGCCTCCAGGGCCATGGAAACTACCTCTCATAGGAAACATGCACCAACTTGTTGGTTCGCTACCTCATCAAACGTTGACAGACTTGGCTAAGAAGCATGGCTCCCTCATCCATCTGAAGACTGAAGCAGTTTCCAATATTATAATTTCTTCACCAGAATTGGCCAAAGAAGCTTTGAAAACCAATGATATCAGTTTTGCTTCTAGACCCTCTATACTTGCTTCCAAGATCATGACTTATGATTCTACAAGTATTGTTTTCTCCCCCTATGGTAGTTACTGGAGCATCTACGCAAAATTTGTGTAACAGAACTTTTAAGTGCGAAGCGCGTTGAATCATTCAGAAAAGTTAGAGAAGAGGAGGTGTCAAATCCCATCAACACAATTTCTTTATCTATAAGAATCTGCCAATCAATCTTAGCAAAAAAATTTTCTCATTGACATATGGCATAACATCAATAGCAACCTTCAATGGAAAATGTAAAGACCAAGAAGCATTCATATCCATCATCACTCAAGTTAGTATGTTGTCAGGAAGCTTCACCATTGTAGATATGTACCCCTCTGTTAGAATGCTTGAATTGATTAGTGGAAGGCCCAAATTTGAGAAGCTACATAAAGAAGCTGATGGGGTGCTTGAGGACATCATTGCTGAGCATAAAGAGAGGAAGAAAATATTAGGCAATGGCAATGGCGAAGAAGTGAAAGATCTGGTTGATATTCTTTTAGATCTTCAAGAGAATGGCGAACTGGTTTTTCCTTTATCTGTTGATAACATTAAAGCAATCATCTTGGTGAGTTTTCCCGTTTTTTATTTGTTGTCACTTGTTTACTTCATTTCTGTTTGATGCATAGCTAACCAATGGTAACATCTATGATTGAAGTACCCTTACTAAGTGTTCAATAATCACCTCCAGGACATATTCAGTGCTGGGAGTGAAACATCATCGATAACTGTTGAATGGACAATAGCAGAACTGCTGAAGAACCCGAGACTTATGGAAAAGGCAAAAAAATGAGGTAAGACAGGTCTTCGACGGTAGAGGAAATGTGGATGAAGCAGGCATTCATGAACTGAAGTTCCTAAAAGCAGTTATTAAGGAAACATTAAGTCTGCATCCTTCTGTGCCTCTGGTACTAAGAGAATGCCGGGAGAACTGTCAGCTTGATGGTTATGATATACCCGCCAAGTCTAAAGTCATTGTAAATGCAGGAGCAATTGGAAGGGATCCCAATTATTGGAATGATGCTGAGACATTTTATCCAGAGAGGTTCCTTGATAGTTCGATTGATTTTTAGGGAACAGATTTCAGATACATCCCATTTGGTGCAGGAAGGAGGATATGCCCGGGTATATCATTTGCTCTTAGTAACATTGAGTTGCCAATCGCACAATTGTTGTACCACTTTGATTCGAAACTTCCTCATGGAATGAAGCCTGAAGATTTGGACATGACTGAGGCGCCTGGTATGTCAATAAGAAGAAAACAGTTGTTTGCAATTCCCATTCCTTATCATCCTTTGCCTGTGCTATAAATACATGATGTTCATTTGATCAATGTCATTGAATCATTGGACCATGTTCTTCATAATAGGAGAATCTTTATGGCGTTCAAATAACTTTTACAGTCCAAGCAACCGCAGCTAGTTCTTTTGTTTTTCTTTTTGACCTGTAATCCCAGTTGCTTATGGCTGTAGTGTGTATTTCAGCTGAGTTTGTCATGATTTCCCAGCTTGAACTTCATGCTATATTCTTAAATGGATTCCTAATTGAACTTCATGCTATATTCTTAAATTATATTCTTGTTTCTTTCAGCAAAAGGAAATTGGAAAGGAACAAAAAATACCAGGAAGACAACAACAAAAAATGTTCCGAAAGGTACTGAAGGCAATGATCTATTGAAGGACGTTTAGAAAGTTGGTTTTCCCTTACTAATAGTCTTGTAAATTCTGACAGTATATGGATGGGGAAAGATTACTTCATGCTTTGCAAGAAAATCCAACAGATGAATATAGTGGCACAACATTTTAGTCACATTTGATGTAAAGTTAAAGCAACAGGGTTTTCAAACACGGCAACATAGCCTCACATAACGATATCAGGATTAGACCTAACATTTTAAACATGTCTAAGATACACAAATTGTCACATCTAATTAGGATATAAATTAGTCGAACAAAGGATATATAGAACCTCACGAAAACAATATAAAACAGGGAAAGTGAAGGGAAATGAAGTCAAGAATACAAGTGATTGGAAGTCAGTGGATTCACTTGGAACTGAGGTACCCTATAGCACTACCTCAAGTTAAGAGTTGGCTTCTTCTTTTTCTTGCTTTGTTTTACTAAAAGCAGGGAAAACCGAGCAAATCCAAACTTCTTCCTCTTTCCAGAGAACTGCTTTTGACCGATTTCTCTCTCTGTCTTGGGAGTTAAGGTGAAATCACCATTTTGTTTACTGAGCATTTGACCCAATGACACCTTTCTCTTCACAGTGCCTTTCTCTGCCAGCATCTCAGTTTCAAAGTCTTCAGGCAGAAGCAACTTCCGGCTTAGTATTTGCCCTATTGATAGGGTTGGCTTCAAAACAGGAGTTGGACCATCACAAACCAGATTCAATCCATTCACATCTAATAAGTGAGAATCTTTTCGATTGTGAGACGGGTAAGAATTCTTGAACTTGGTAGAGTTGTGTACAGAACGTCTTTTCTGACCATGCTCAGATCTCCACTTGCGAAGGGCCTCCTCCACTGCCAGCTTGCCCTTATTTGCAGCTTCTACTCTGTTCAATGCTTCTTCCAAGACCTTCTTACTAGTTTTGACTTCTTCAGTGGCTTCCTCTACCCTCTTCAAGACTTCCATTTTTGAAACATTTGCTCCATCAACTTGGAGCATAGCATCAACCACTCTCTTATTAGAAAGTTCCTCGGCATTTTGAGCCTTGCACATTAAGGAAGAGTACTCTTCAAATGAAATAGTCACCCCTTCAGCCTTTTGCACAGGAACGCCACACGAGCTCTTCCTTCTTGAAAGAGTTTTGATCTCTGCAAGAGCCACAGCTTCTGCAGCTCTAGCAGCTTCCTTCATTTTTTTGGCTGCAAGTAGCCTCATCTCAGTTGTTTTTATTCTTGTTCTTGTCTGTTCAATCTCAGATATTGCTCTTGAAACCTCTGATCTTGCTGCTTCTCCGATTTTCTTGTATTGCTCAGCCTCAGAACTCAATCGTTGGAGCCCCCTTGATATATCCAAAGGATTATCAGCACTGCTTTTGGTTTCAGCATCTTTTGCTACTTGCAGTTTGAGTCTTGTTTGATTTAACTCTTCTTCAAGGGATGATATCTTTGATGAATTCTGACTTAGCCTCTCTCGAGTCTTCTCAAGAGAAATTCTTTCCTTCTCTAATTTCTTGTTTAGTGATTCCACAGAACCTCGAATGTCAGCGAGATCATTGGTTGTCCGGGAAAGATTCACTTTGGCCTGGTTCAACTCCATTAAGATTAAACCAGGAGATGATGATGGGCGGGGACTCAAATTTCCAGCCAAGTTTGGTTGGCCACCTTGATGATTTTCTTTCTCTGCGTCATTCACTGTAGAGGCCACATTCTTGACATCTGTATTCATCTCAACGGTCACATTTACTTCGGAAGCTTCTTTCTGCAGCTTTAATTTTAGCTCTTCTACAGTTGTTTTTGTCGTTTCAAGTTCTTTTAGCACATCCAATGTTTCTCTTTCCTTAACAATGAGATCCTTCTCCAATTGTGCTGCTTGCTCCTCCAATTTTGCAATGTCCACTTCTTCCATATCATGCTGCGAATATTTAGAACTTGTCAGAAAACAAGCAAATGTCAACAAAATGCATACGTAGAGGAATCAAAAGTGAGGTAATACATGCACTAATCACTTAGCATCAATTAGCGGCGCAAAAGACAAACAAAACAATCTATCTCCTTTCCATAAGCAGAAGTGACTAAACTTTGTAAAACATTCAAAGAACATGAAAACTATTAAAATAAAGAACACACAGAAAAAACCCCCCAAAAGTACAACCAATCTATCTTCTTTCCATAAGCAGAAGTGACTAAACTTTGTAAAACATTCAAAGAACATGAAAACTATTAAAATAAAGAACACATAGAAAAAACCCCCCAAAAGTACAACCAATTGATTCACATGAGAGACCTTCAAGACAACTAATAACAAAAGATGATTGTAAAGAGAGCAGACTACTAGAAGAATCTTCAAGGTTCAAGTAACATGAAGCCGAGAGTTTCTGAGATTAAATGCTTCAAAGTCAGTTTCATGCAAAGTCCATGCTAATCAACTCTGAAACCACCTAGTGAGCATCTTTGCCAAGCTTTGCCTATTCTCTCCCACTTACTCTCTTCAATACACCTTTTTCTTTTACTAGCTATAAAACTTTATACTATGTTTGGATCGCACTTTTAAAGGAAAGGAAAAAAATGCAAGAAGCAAACTATAAATTTGAGAAAAGAAATTTTAATAATGAAAAGTTTAATGGTGTTACCATCATAATATATAGAGGAATCATGTTAAAACTGATACTGCATTTTAGTCATTTATTCATTTTTTAAACACTTATATTGTTGGTTTCTACCATTTCTTTTACTTCAAAGCAGGACCTCATGCAGCAAAATGCAAATGGGAAAAATCAACTACCTAATGTGATACTAATAACCAAACAAAGCCTTAAATTTTCAAAGTAAATCCTGAGCTAAAAAGTACAACTTTACGAACCCACATTGATTACTTTTACCCTATAAATGAGTCAATAGCCAATCTAAAACAAAATAGACCCAAATATCAAAAACAGAAAATAAAAAAAGTAAAAAAAAAAGGAATGAAACATTTGTCCAAAAAAAAAAAAAAACCCAGAAGTAAAAACCAAGATTGTTTTTTTTTTGGTTGTAGAAATTAAACCTCAGTTTCAGGGATGAGCTTATGTTGAGAGGGTTTCCAGTAACCAATTCCACCGAATCGAGAGACAGCCTCCTTAACTGACTCAAATGGCGCCGACGTATCGATCTCAGCTCTGACACCACCGTTCAAAGCACTCATTTTGGTGGCTGAATCACCAAATTCACAGCTTCCCACCTCCATTCCAAAAAACCAAACAAAACCCTCAAATAAAAAACAACTAAAAAAAGTTGGTTTGGAGCTTTTGCACTTGTCTGAAACTCTGAACGAGTGAAAGACAATGAAAGCGACAGTGTACTATAAAAGAGGAAACGGCACTCAACCATGAGAGAGGGAAACAGGGAAAAGAGTAAATTTCCATAAATATCCTTCATTTTTATGAAATTTGCAGGATGTTTAAGTGGAGTTGTGAGGTAAAAAAAAAAAACAAGAGAGATTTACTCAAAGTGATTACCCTTGTGCGGAACGGAAATATTGAGAGATAAAAAGAAATTAAAAGCGTGTGGGTGCAATGGGGCGACACAGAATTTGAACGGCAATATTTCTTAACGGACTTTTTAGGACAAAAGCCTTAACTTGAGTATGTTGGACGGTTGAGATTTCTCTGTCTTATTTCTTTTAAAGGGAAAAGACAACTCATCTTTTCTTGTTTGAAATTTTTTTTTTTTTTATAATAGAAAATATATATGGATATCATATTAGGTTGAGACGAGCATTTTTTTCAAAAATTCGATTCGATGATTTTTTTATTTTTTAATATTTAAATTTGATTTAATTTAATATTATATAAAATTATATTTTATTTGATTCGATATAAAATTAATGAAATATTATTTTTAAATTTAAATATAAAATTAAATAAATATAAAATATATAAATATTAAATTAAATAAATAATTTAAAATAATATATATCAAGTTAGATCAAAATAAGTTTACTTGAAACTCAATCTCGATTTATTTTATTATTACTCAAAATTTGATTTATTTTTTAAATAAACTTTAAAAAATTCAATCAGATCAAAATTCATCGAAGTATGAATTAAACTACTTTTTATGTATATATATATACACAATTTCAACTAAATTATTTTTTATTTTATAAAAAACTTAAATTGCAATATTTATAATTTTTTATTTTCAAATTACGATTTTTAAAATTTTTTTATTGTCAAAATACAATTATTTTTAATCCGTGGTAAAGAGTGAAGAGGACATAGAAGTTATTGGGATGGAAAGTGCCGTACTTTCCTGTTGCATTCGCTTTTTACTGGTATAAAATCATTACCTGACCGTTGCATTGCATAAAGCAGTAGCATTGCCACGGTAAAAAAGCCAAAAGTAAATAGAATTTGATCGAAATGTTCATGCTTCCATTGCAGGCTTTACAGCCTAAAATCATTTGAATTTGATTCTAGTTTCAATAAAGTTTCAAATTTTCTACAACATATGCTACGGCCAATAATACATTACAGGGCTCAATTCATTCCCCAACTTCTAGGAAGATTGTTTAATGTAAGAAAATTAAATTTAGTACCAAGGGAAGTTAAGCAACTGTCAGAATTAACCTTTTATGCACTGAAGTTATGTAATATCTTGGCATCCTGATCAAATGCGGTGACTTCATGAATAGCATTTGCTAAATAATCTACATTCTTTGCGGTCACTCCACCCATGCTGCCATGTTGCCATATGATGAAGTTTGGATTAGCTCATAATTGTACAATATCTAACTACTGATATGCATATCATAGGAAAACCAATGTTTATATAATAAATATACCTTATTCGTCCATCCTTTGTCATGTATATATGAAATTCCTTCGCAAGCAGATCGACCTCATTAGGAGTCAAGCCAGAGAAGCAAAACATTCCAACCTGTAATTTTCGCATATTCTGATGAGTTAAAATGCTAACTGTTGAAATGCCTTTTTTTCTCTACGCTTCAAGCAGCAACAGGGAAGCTTCTAATTACATTACTGACCTGGTTAGTTATGTGTTGCCAATTGAGGGGAGAACCTAATTTCTCAAGAGCTTCCCGTACAGTAGCTCTCATCCTTTGAACGTGAGTTGCCATGAACTTATGACATGTAGATATGATTAAAGGCACATCAGGCCCATCATCCTAATACTTGTAATTGAGGAAATTGAAGTAACGAGAGAATGGAAGAGGAAAAAGAAACTTGAAAAATATACCTTGACCTCTTTATGCCAAATGGCCCTAATGTCAGGATGACTCAAGATTTTTGAGACCAGTGCTATACCATGAATAGGTGGACTGCCGTACATTGTGCTGGCAATCTGCTGTAGCTGGCTCTTAATTGCAACTGCTTGGATTTTGTTGTTGCAGAGAACACTGGAACAATCAATGCCAGGTAAGATTTTTGAATAACCATAAGGACCAAACCAGAATACAAAGGGTTCTGTTTAAAACTTGAGCCTTCTAATGTATGACTTATTATATCACACACACTCAGTAAAAAGTTCAAGGAACTACATAAATATACATCCAACCATAAACAAAAATGAACAACATTTGCTAACCTGAGACAACCCACTCGGTGACCATACAATCCCATGTTCTTTGCAAAAGATTGGGCACAACCTATTAGATGGCCATCTTCAAGGAAAATTCTAATTGCTCGAGCATCCCTCTCTAGATCTCCGCTTGCAAAACCTTGATAAGCCACGTCAAAGAAGGGAAAATGGTTCTTTACCTAAAAAGTAGTAAAGTCAAGAATTTTAAATCAGTAATAGATATAAGAGAAAAATGTTTCAAAATAATATAATTATTGCCATTACCTTGAACAGAGATGAGATTTGTTGCCACTGCTCATCACTAGGGTCAACCCCAGTAGGGTTATGTGCACAAGGATGAAGTAAGAAGAAAGAACCATCTGGCGCATTCTATGGGAACCATCAAACAAATAAAACAAAAGCAGTCAATAACTGATTTCAGATCATAGTTGAGACATTTAACAGTATTTCACAGATCTAGCATCCAGGCAATGCAAATATTGTGGTGTTGCATATAATCCAAGCTTCCTGTAGCAAAAATGAATATGCATATACATATGTAGTATCTTTGTAACTAAAATATTTAACTTCATGTCCATTTAGACATGCATTAAGCATTTAACAGAGTTTTAACTTCTTCATTGTATGTACATTTATGTGAATGTGCATTATACATATGTATATGTATGTAGGTCTGCAAATCACTGGCAATGTTCTAGAGAAATTCATATCAAAAGAAGAATTTATTGGGGATCTATTTTATACTTGACGGAACTAGGTTCCTCTTTGAGTTTGCTGGAATCATACATAGGTGAGAAACATGTCAATATCTGACTGATTGGTGGTTTTATGAATGTATTTGACATATAATTTTGTTGAAAATTTAATATAATTGTCCTGGAGCCCATTAGGAAGGGCAAGAGAGGGTGGGGAGAGAGTGTGGATCATTGTATGTACCTTGACATCATCCATGAGTGCCACAAAGTTTAAACCCTTGGAATCAGGATGGTAGTAGTGGAATGTCCTCTCTGGAACATGAGCATCTCTCCAAATGTTGTGGTGACTGTGTGAAACAGGAATAAAATGTGATTCAGCCATAGGTTTAGGGACTTAAAAGTGAAAACATCTTTTGCATAGCCATGTTTATAACTTTAAACAATAGAATGAAATGAAAGGTACAAGACATCTTACTTGGACCAAGTTGGATCAGGCAAATATATTCTTGAATCTGGGAAAAATCGTTTCTGGAACTCGGCAAAGAGACGACATGCACCAGTTCCAGAGAGAGCCTGAATTCCGGCAAACCTCCCTTCTTTTACAACATCTGAATCCTCTCCATAAACCAATTTTGCACTCTCCTCAACAAATTTCGAGCTAACTGCAGTAGATGTTGACTCCCTGTCAATGCATCTCAGAACATTAGACTAGAAGATATTTGGAGTTAGAAGATGTATAAAGACAATGAACTCATAAGGTAAGCAAAGAGTCTATACAAATTTAGGAGTAAGCACATGTTAATTTACCAAATAATAAATCAGCAAGAACATTTCAAAAGGACAGGTAGGAGGATTACTTCTATAGATATAGCACTTTCAAAACCAAAGGTCAAGAAATTCAGGATATTATCTAACAAAAGCACTGGAATTTTCAACAATTAATGAACTCAATCAAAAAGTAAAAAATAACAATAAAAAAAAGTTATACCCAAAATCTCATTGCAAATGCAGCTTTCAACATATGCATCAGATATTGCCCTCAAAGACATTCAACAAATTTCAATTCGTTACAGAGATGCCAACTAAAAATGAGCATCAATATCTGATAGGAAAGAATTGAAATTTTATATTAAGTTCTAATTAACTGGCTGTCTTATGCTTAAATCAAATATCGATTTAAATCAAATATTGAACTTAATTAGAACTTAATAAAATGAATGATTAAAAAGGACCAAATATAGAATTAAATCAAATATCGAAAAAAAGGGGAAAAAATTAGAACTATGATGAAAATGAAACCCACAAGAAATTGGTAGCCGCAATCTTGCCTTCTGCTTCCCTAACGCATTGAAGAACAATGGGTTTCCCCTCATCATCCCTGTAAGCTCCCTGAAAACTTTCAAGAGTTATTCTTATTACTATTATTTCCTATAATGCCCAAAGAGGAACAAGCAATTGTGATAGAAAAAAAATACCACTCCAAGATTAATCTTGTAAGGACAAGGGTCAGCAAGAAAAGCTTCGGTGACAGCATTGACGGGGTCCTTAGGAGCTGGAGTGACATGGTCCCACCATGAACATGGACTGGCTCTGGCCCTGGTGGAAGTTGATATTCCTCTTCTCAGGTATCTCCACATAATCGTCACCAAGAAATGCGAAAAGCTGCCGCTGCTTTGGTTCTGTTGTGTTCAGGTAACTCATAGTTGAGTATATAAATACGAAGACGATGGAAGCCTGGGAAAAAGGAAAATCAACGGTGTTTTTCTTAATCTTCCATGGTTTTATTTTTTGTTCAAAAAGATGGGAGTTTTGACTATGTTTTTCAGTGGGCTTTTTCTGTTTTGTTCGTTGGTTTTTTTCTTTTACTTTTCTTTTTCCCGCTGTAGCCAACAGAATTGCAAGAAATATATTGAGATTTGAGAGAACAGATGGGCCATGGTGAAATGACCTGATTATGGCCCTCTTTTATTAGTAATTTATTATACACATCCTATATTTTAGGCAATATAACCGTCGCCGTCATAAAATTAATAATAATAATAATAATAAAATTTATCATAACGTCTAGATCCGAAGATTTATCGTTAGAAATTGACTTGAATGAGTCATCATTAATTTTTTTTATTTAGGTATGATTGATCACCTAAAAAATCTATCTTTTCAGAGAACATCTAAGTTTAAGGGTCCTTACAAGAATAAGTTCGGGTTTACTAACTAGAACATGGTTTGAAAGTTCGGTTACATGTGAGGAAGGTTATAACACCCTCACAATACTCATCGAAAGATGGTACCAACTTAATTTTGTGTTATCCAATAAGCCTTAAAAATTTACCAAGTAATTAATTATCAAAAATTATTTTCAATTGACTCTAATAATTTTAGCAAAAAATTGAAAAAATTTCCTCACCTCAAGAATATGCAAGAAAACTACTATTTCACTTGCAGAGACTCCATCGTCGGATTATTTAACATTAAAAAAAATCAAGAAAATAAAAAGAAAAGAGAAAAAGATGATTGCTTTTATGCAAAGAAAATTGATACTTTTAACTTTTTTTCAAAAGTTTTTTTGAAACTTTAATTTCGAAAAAAATTGATACTTTCAACTTTTCCTCAAAAATTTATTTTTGAAAACTTATTTTTAAGGAAAATTGATGCTTTCAACTTTTCTCCAAAAATATTTTTTGGAAAGCTTATTTTCAAGGAAAATTGATGCTTTCAACTTTTCTTCAAAATATTTTTTAGAAAGCCTATTTTCAAGAAAAATTGATACTTTCAACTTTTTCTCAAAAATATTTTTTTAGAAAGCTTATTTTCAAGGAAAATTGATACTTTCAATTTTTCCTCAAAATTTTTTTTTTGAATTTTATCTAAAGAAAATAAAATAATAAAATAAAAATAAAAATAAAAATAAAAATGAAAATAAAAAATAAAGAAAAAAATAAAAATAAAATAAAAAATATTAAAAATTCTAATATAATAATAATAATAATAAATAAATAAACGAAAAAAAAACCTGAGAACGGCTCGACTTGAGGGCTCGGCTCGTCTCGGCTTGAAGAAGAAAAGACTGCTTGGAGATGCGATTCGAGGTGTCGGTTCGGCTCGAAAAATGGCTCGGAGACATGGGTTACACGCGGGTTGACGCTCGGGTCGGGTCTGTCTTTTTTCTCTCAGCCCGTATCTCTTTTTTTCTGTGTTTCAGTCTTTTGATCCGTGGATCTATTTATAGGGATTGATTAGAAGAGTTTTTGATCAATCCTTATTCCCTTTTGGATTGGGATTCAATCTTTGAATCCAATCTGAATTTTGATTGAATCTCACATTCACGGTAGAACTCAAATTTCTATCCTAATCCAACTCCAATCGGGTAAAGGAAAGAAGAAAAGAAAAGAAAAAAGAAAAATAAAATAATAAAATAAAAAAAATAATAAGGATAATATATTGATTAATAGATAAATAATAATAATAATAGATAAATAATATATATAAATAGATAAATAATAATAATATATAAATAAATAAATAATAAAAATAAAAATAAAATACAATAAATATATATTAATAAATAGTAATAATAAATAAATAATAAATACATAAAATACAAAATAAAGTAAAATAAAATAAAAAATATAAAAATATAAAAATACAAAAATACAAAATAAAGTGGGCCTACCCATTTGGACTAGGCCCAATTGATCCGGGCCTGGACCAAATTGGGTGTCTACAGCTGCTCCTCTTTGCACATTTTTTGTGAAACAAAAATTATGCAAAAACGTAGACACCCATTTAAGACTCAACTCGACCTTTTTTTTTTCATTTTTTTGTATTAAAGATTTGATCAAAACTCCTTTAAGTAGAGGCTCAACGACTTTGAAAAACATAATCAAAGCTCCTCTAATCAGAGGCTCAACGACTTTGAAAATGAATAAAGCTCTTCTAAATAGAGGTCAATGAATTTGAAAAATAAACGGCTCCTCTAATCAGAGACTTAACGACTTTGAAAAATAAATAGCTCATCTAATCTAAGGCTCAACGACTTTTGAAAAAAAATGGCTCCTCTAATCAGAGGCATCACAACTTTGAAAATTAAATAAAGCTCTTCTAAACAGAGGCTCAACGACTTTGGAAAAATAAATTGCTTCTTGACACTCATGTCCAAAGGAGTTGAAAATCGTGTTTGAAGGAGTTTCAGGAGATTATACCCAAAGGTCTTATAAATCAACCCTGATACCAAGAGACATCCTAGTTCAAGGATTAGGAACTTACCTTACAAGCTTTTTCTCAAATTTAAAAATGTCTTCACATTTGTCTTTTCTATGTGAGATTTTGGAATACTCATGCTTCTTGAATTTATGCAGTATATGCTATGCAATGCATATGAAATTCAATGCGTGTTATGCAAATGTTGACTAATTAACTCCTATTTAATTGTGGTACTCAAGTTTCTCAAGCTCTTTTCTTGGGCCTCGAACCCTTGATTTTTCAAAGACCCAATTACGCTGCTCTTCTAAGATCGAGCCAGTGTAACTCTCAATCATCTCTTCCACTCACATTCTTTCTGTAAGAAATCTCTTTCCAAATTCAATGTCCTTATCAGGAACTGAACATCTCGATTCTGCCTTTATCATTCTAGATTTCTTTAATGTAATGTAAAAATATTTCATGCCATTATTCATTTATCAGTCATTATTTCATACTCAAAAAGTAAGAATGCATTTGCACATTTCTTCCATTGTAGAGTATTAAGAGGAAAAAAATAAGAATGGTTAAGAAACCGTCAATAGAATAAGGACACAAAAGTGAAATAAAATATCTTTTATTAACAAAATGTTGGCAAACTTTGGGCAAGAAAGAATTACAAGGATAAGTATGGGGGACAAAGCCCAAAAATGAACAATCAGATAATCATGATAACACATCTCAAAGTTTTTCTGAAAACCTAACCATCTGATGTATTTAAAAACTTAGAGCTCCTTCGAATTTCTTAATCTTTATGCCAACGGATTTTCAAATTTGGTGTTGTATTCTCCTTATCTAAGCTACTTTTTTAGGTTTTTAACTTAAATAAACCCCTATGACTTAAACCGTCATTTTAGGGTTTTCGTCTTGAGTCCTCTTTTTTTTCCATTTTTCTTTCTTTTTTTTTTTTTTTTTTCATTTTTTTTATTTCAAGCATAGTATTTCTTCATAGCATCAGAATTTATAGGATGAGATAAATCATTTCCATCCATCTTAGTCAGTATCAACATTCCATCCGAAAAAGCTCGTCTCACCATATATGACCCTTTCCAATTCGGAGTTTATTTTCTTTTAGTATCATGCTGGATTGAAAGGATTCTTTTCAAGACTAACTTTTTTTCTCGAAAGCAACGGGGTTAATTTTTTTTATCATGAGCCCTCATCATTCTTCTTTGATATAATTGACCATGGCATAATGTAGTCAATCTCTTTTCTTCTATGAAATTTAACTGTTCATAGTATTCTCAAATCCATTCAGCTTCTTTCAACTCAGTTTCTTTTAGAACCCTCAAGGATGAGATCTCCACTTTCACTGGTAGTACAACTTTCATCTTATAAACCAAAAAAAATGAGGTTACCCTAGTAAAGGTGCGCACTGATGTTTGGTATGCATGCAGTGCAAATGGTAACTTTTCATGCCAATCTTCATAAGTCTCGGTCATCTTTTTCAAAATCTTTTTTATGTTTTTGTTGGCTGCCTCAACTGTCCCATTCATTTTCGGATGGTATGGTACCGAGTTATGATGCTTGATCTTGTATTGAGCATATATTTCTTGCATCATCTTACTATTTAAATTCTTGGCATTGTTTGAAATAATTTTCTCTGAAAGTTTATATCTACAGATGATCTCTCTCTTTATGAACTTGTCAATCACAGATCGTGTTACACTTGCATATGATGCTGTCTCAACCTATTTTGTGAAGTAATCTATCATCACAAAAATGAATCTATGCCCGTTAGAAGCCTTTGGAGTGATAGGACCAATGACATCCATGCCCCACATTGAAAATGACCAAGGTGGTGCCATAACATGTAAAGCAGATGACGGAGCATGGATCTTATCAGCATATATCTGGCATTTATGGCATTTACGAGCATAATCAATGTAATCACTCTTCATTGTTAACCGGTAATATCCTACTCTCATAATCTGTCTCGCTATCATATGTCCACTGGTATGTGCCTCACATATTTCATCATGCATTTTTTTAATGATTTTTCTCGCTTCAACTTTACTTACACACTTTAGTAATACTTAATCCTGACTTTTTTTGTACAGAACATCTCCATCCAGGAAAAAGCTCATAGCTAATCTTCGGATGACCCTTTTATCATTTTTTGTTACTTGAACTTGGTATTGCTGATCCTTAATATACTGCAGGATATCATAATACCAGGGCTTCCCATTTTTTTCTTGTTTTACATTGGAGCAATAAGCTGGCACCTCCTTAACATCTAGCCTGATGGGCTGAATGTTAGTATTGTCATTAATTCGAATCATTGCAGCTATAGTAGCCAATGCATCAACAATTAGTTTCTCTTCTCGAGGTAAATGGTTAAACTGGATATCTTCAAATTGTTTCATAAACTCTAGAATATACTTATGATATGAAACGAGTTTTGAATCTCTCGTCTCCCATTCTCTTTTCAACTGATATATAACTAGAGCTGAGTTTCCAAACACTTTAATGCTTTTACTCTTCTATCTATAGCAGCTTGTAAGCCCATGATATATGTCTTATATTCAGCGATGTTATTTGTGCAATTAAAATTTAACCTTGCTATTACAAGGCAGTATTATCTTTTTGGAGAGATCAAAATTACTCCAATTC